CATTGAAGATGTTACAGGGTTCTGAATTTCATCTATGATGTTACTATTTGGTGACAAATCTGAACCTCCAGTATCATCTGAAGAGAGACAAAAAGCCATCAAAGAAATGTGGAGATTGGCAGAATTACTGTTAATTTTCTCATCAGGAGTGTTCATTTAAAAAATGACCCACAAAGACTTCAAAGAAGAAGCAGCAAATACAGTGAAAATGACAAAAAAATATATTAAAATTCCATAAGTAGAAACCAGTCTTAACAATAGTTGGTGGACCTTTTTCAGGCCTTTTTCTCATACTTAGATGGCAGCAATAACAGTTTGGATGTGACTGCTGTGAATTTGTGTTTAATGGTCATCTGCTGCCACAGATGATCTGTTCTTTTCAGTCCCACCTCTTATTGCAATAATAGTGGACTATTTTATGAAAGACAGTGGAATCAATAAGCAGCAAGCAAAAGAGATGTTATTTCTCATGACCAGTTGACACTGCTGGAATTCACAGAAGGTCACCAAGTTTAATGCTGCTGGGTTGTTGTTTTGTTTTTTAATCCTGTTTTATTTAGTTTTTAGCTTAACTCTGTGTCTCTTAAGACTCATTCTATGCAAGCTAAGGTGAAAATGTTAACTGATAGGGGGTGATGGCTTAGCAGGGACAGGAAAGAATTTCTCCTATTCTCTTTCCCACTCTGAACAGTGCAGAACAGTCAGATGGGTGTATACTGCTTGTTTGCTTTTTTTTTTTTCTCTGAATTAATAACTTATGGGCCTTAATGGAAAAAGGTGTTGGAGCAAACAGGCTGGTGCACTAACCCACTGTGTAACTTGATTTCATCTCATTAAACATTTTTTTTAAGTTTAGACAATACACTTGAACAGAAAATAACAAATTTTAATGTGCAAAAGATGTGTTCAATGTTCATGTGTGAGAAAAGTGATACTTCCTATGGAACTTAGGACAGTAATTATAAGGCTTAGATGATCTGTTTATCTCCCAGAACTGAAGGTTGTAAGTGTGCCTGTCTTATCACTATCTGTATTTCTTCAAATACCTGAAGAACTCAGAATTAAACAAATTAAAAGTTAACCTCTGCATGGTCAGAGCTGCTTGTATGGCCAAAGAGATAGGAAAGGGGCATTCTATTACTAAAATTAAGGCTTTAGATGGCAGAAAAGCAGGTGAAATTTTGGTTTTAGCTCTCCTCTGTAGAGAGAAGCTCAGGTCCTAGGCTGATGTGGTTGAGGTAACATTGTGTTATGTGTGGGTGTGAGGCAATAAACTTTAGACAGGTGTATTTTCCCCCCACTGCCTCTGTTTTACACATCCTCTCTTTGCTGCTCCTCCAGGGACTGCATTAATGTGCAGCTCTGTAATAGCTGATCAGTGGAAACAAGGTACATCAACCATTAACCTCACTGGAGTCAGGCTGCTGGGGAGAAGACAGCTGCTCCCTGGGGTTAGAAACCAGGGCTGGCTGCTGGTGCTGCTTCCCCCACCGAGGCCAGCTGTGGAGCTGGAGTGAGGTTGATGGAACTGACGGTGTTTGGGAGGGAAGCTGTAGTGGAGGAAGAGTGGCATGGCTGAAACCTGAGGGACTTCAGCTTCCACAGTGCCCAAGGCAGCTGTCGCTGAAACCCTGAGAATGGCACTTGTGGCTTTTTAAGGGCCTGGATATGCCCACTAATTTTTAGGATATTTTCAGAGTGTTGGTAATTCCTTGGTTCTGAAATTATTTCTTTCTTTCCCCTAGCTTTAACTTTTGGCAAATATTTTGTATCTGAATAGTAAAGACAACTATTCTTTTTCAATGTTTTTATGATACCTTGAGCTAACCACATAGCATAAGATTTTTTTCACTGTGTTTAAATGGGTGACATTGGTTTTTGATTTTAATGAGTATTAAAGAGAATGGAAGTGAAAATTACTTTATCTCTGTGGTGGATGTATATTAAGTCAACATTATTTAAAATAATTTCATTTGAATTTATTTTTTAAATTTACCTCAGTCTCTTTCAAATTTTCACATGGTGTTCTTTACCACTGGAATTATTATTCCAAATTCCACTCAAAATTCTTCTTTTATTAGTTAGAGGGTATTTGTGAGCTACAAACTCTTGTCTGTCTCTTGAATACAACTCTTGTGTTCTTTTATATGTGTCTACAGACTTTTGCAAAAAAATCCCATTTCATGTGGCCAGTTCAAGGCACTAGATGCTTTAAAGAGTCAGTAAGGATATCTGGCTCCTAGATAAGGCCTCAAAATTCTTAGTAATATCTAAACTGAGGATTAAAAAGTTATAATTTTCCAAAGGTTTCCATTACATTTCGTATTCTGCCTGCTGTGCATTGTACATTATTAAAGAGTCCTGCTCTGACATGCCCCCCAAAGAAGTGAATTAACATTTCTTGTGAACTCTGTTCTTTTGTGAAAAAGTAATAATGACTCAAGCAGCTCCAAAAGTTTCTCAGATGAATTAAAATTTATTACTTGTAAAATTAATGCCCATTACATTCACTGATGCTGTGCATAAATTGTCATTTGTAGGGAAAAAACCCACTTCTTTTTACTCTTTGCCCTTGTTGATAACGGATCTGTGACGTGTATAGAGGATAGGGACAAATGCAGCATGTGAGTGACATAATTTCTGAAACTTTAGCTTCACACTGCCCATCTATTGTTCTCTTTACATATTTTTTTTTTTTTGTCTCTAAAGCAATTCTAGCTGACATTTATTTCAGCTCTTATTAGAGAGTGAGTCCATTCTAGCCTGTGAAAAGATGACCCCTGACTTGTGCTTTGGATTAGGCTTGAAGCATTTTGAGTGCTAGCATTTATAGAGAAGTTCTCACCTGCCAAGGTGGACAAAAGTCGAAATTGCTGCTGGTTCTATTTCTTGGTGGTGTTGGCTACTTTTCTTCAGCTTGTTTTTGTTTTTCTTTTAGTATAGTCAATTAGTTTTAGTATTTCTTTTAGTATAGTCAATTATCTTGCCATTGGTTTACTTGAGCTTTTCTTGAAAAGGCTATTTCTCCCTCTTAAACTAAAAAATTGAAAATCCTGAAATTTTATAGGCATACCATTGTTTTTGCCAACCAGTCCCACAGCTGAAAGAAGACATATGCAAGTGAGGAGAAAAAGGAGAAATATAGAAGTTGGGTATGATGAACTTAGAAGTTTTATAACTGAGAAGATGCCTTCAAAAGAGGTTCCTTCTGAAGAAAATGGGTTGATGCACCTCTCGTTTGTTGACTGCTGGCTCGTGTGAATTTAGGATATAACTACTGTGATATGAGCAATTATTTGATTTCTACTTCCTGTCTCTAGTGGGACTAGAAAAATCAAAGTCAGAAGAAAGTGTATTAAGACATAAAGTGGGGATTTAGACTGTTTTATAGGAAAATACTTAACCTCTCTGTACAATTCTCTGTCTGTGTAATGGGGATAATGTATTTAACTACAGCACGAGAAGTCTGAGGATTAATTGGTTAATGAATTCATAGAACCCTGAGCATGAAAAGTGTGCTCTAAATGTTTCCCATAGAAATTTCTCCACCACCTAAAGAAGGAGGAAGAAAAAAGCTAATTCATTGCTTTAAAGAGCTGTGCAAATTCCATCAAGAACACAGATAATTAAAGTAATATTAATAGATTTTTAGGTCTTCATTTTTCCCTAGAGGCCAGGTGTCCCTGATTTTTTTTTTCCTTTTTCCCCTTCAAGTTCCGTCCCTGACTCAGTTGTCAAAGACTGAGAAACCCGTCTAGCTTTGAGCTTGATCCCCACAGTGGAGTTGCAAGGTTAAATAAATGGGGTGGGTTGGTTTTTTTAAAAATTATTTTAAACTGAGCATAACACTCCAAAAAGCATTTTTCTCCCCCCTCCCCCAATGTATTTTTAGGCTGTATGCATTCTTGCCTATGTCGGTTCCTTAGTCCCAGTTGAAGATTTCAAGGGAGACAGGGCTCTATATTGTTTCTCCCTTGTATTGCAGATAGGGGGAGGAGGTGGTTATTAGAGAGAAGCGCTCTCACTCGCTCGCTCTCTCTGTTTCTCCCTCTCTGGCTGATAGCACTTATCTCTCGCTCTCTTTCCTTCTCCTAGGTGATCCATTTCTAGGCAACGTGCTGGCTGGTGCTGGAGCTGCCAGCTCTCTCTGCATCCCACCAGCAAAGCAAGCTCCAAAAGCAACCTGCAGACCATCATCTGCCTTCCTCTGCCTCGCTCCGGGTACTCCTCCTCTCGCTTCTGCCCTGTCCAACCACCACCTTGCGCGACAGAGACAGCACGCTGGGCTCCATTGGCAGATTTTTTTTTTTTTTCCTCCAGTTGTGGGAAGCGATTTTTCTAAGCGAAGGGTGGGGGGAAATCTCTGCATTACTATCTGCATTACCTTGAAGTTCACTTTGTTTTTTGGCCTCCGGGGGGGCTTTTCCTGCAGGAATCTGGCTGCTGGGAGCGGGATCGCCTGCTCCCTCGGTCGCCCGCTCCTCCCACCTCGCTGAAGGCGAGCTATTTGCTGCGGGCTCCCGAGGCTTCTCTGGCCAAGAGGGTTTGTGCGTGTCTGCTCGTGTGTGCGTGTCTGCTCGTGTGTGTGCGTGTGTGTCTGTGTGTGTGAGCGTGTGCGTGGTGTGGCTTGGAAGTTGCTGTGCGGCAGCGGGACCGAGCGGATCCCTGGACCCGGCGGAAGGATGGGGATTGTCTGACCAGCAGAGGCGTCTGCTGCCCGCGGCGGCGCCCGGGCTGGATGGATTTGCTGCCGGCGCTCCCAGCAATTCTGGTGCTGCCCAGGAGCCCCGCGAAGTGAAGCGGGGTTTCGCCGAGGAGAGAAGCGCTCGGAGCCCCGGGCTCGCTCCCTGAACCAGCCGCGGCTCTGCGCCAGCCATCGGGATTTACACGCTGCTCCGGCTGCACCTCAAACTCTTGGGCTTCCTGCGCTGCACTGTCCTCCGCGGCCGCACCGTTTGGCGAAGAGATCTGTTGTTATAAAGCCTGGACCTCCGGAGGAGATGGAAGTTTTCTCCCTCATCCTGGTCGTGTCCGTCTGTTGGACTCGAACCTGGAAAGCGGCGATTGCAGATTCAATCATTCATATCGGTAAGGGGGTGCTGCGCCTGCTGGTGCTGCTGGACACTTTTCCAGCTCTCCTTTGCAACCTTCCCTCTCTTGGAAGGCTTTCCCCCCTCCCCCCCGCAGCCCCCACTCGCTTTTATCGCTTGCTCGCTTGTGGTTTTTTTTGTTGTTGTTTAGTCCCCTCTTATAATTGCTTTCCACCAGGACCTCAGGCGTCCTCTTTTTCCCCTGCCGCGCTGTGTAAAGGTTTCTTGGCGGCGGGGTATGTGCGTGCTTTAGACCTTGAGGTTTTGCTGGGGCTGCTGATGGGGGGGGGCAAGGCTCGGGCACTTCCCCGGTTCGTGCCCGCCGCCCCTCAGCTCCAGCCTGCCTTCCGCCTGCCCCGGCTCGCCCTCGGCCGGGGGGACACCCCACGCCTCCCCGTGTTCCTCACACCACGGTGACAGCCACGCAAAGCCCCCACCCCTCAGACTTTTCCTCCCTTCACACCCCATATCCCGCCTTCCTCTCCCGCGGCGGAACAGGTGGTTTGGCAACGTGAGCGCTTCCCCTGCCGCGGGCGGCCAGGGCGGGGGCGGGGGGCTCCGGCCGGCCGGCACCCCCTTCCCGGCCGCCACCCTGCGGCCCCGTGTGCGCCTCCCGGAGCCGCGGCTCCCGGGAAGGGCAGCGGCCTCCCCTCCGCCCCGGGGGCAGGGGGCAGCTCGGGTGATGCCGGTGCACGGCGCTGCCTGCGCTCCCCGCCGCCCCTCGCTCCCCGTTATCCCGAGCCCTCCCTCCTCCCTCTCGGCGGGCGCATCCCCGTGAAGCGCCGAGCCCCGCTGCGAGCGGCGCTCGGTTCCCGCGGCTGGCGAGAGCGGGTGCCCCCCCCTGCGCCGGCCGGGGATGCGCGGGGAGGGAGAGGAGCGGAGATGGGGAGATGAGGAGAGGAGGGCGCTTCCCCCGCGGCCGTTCGCCCATCTGCAGGCACCGCACGCAGGCGGAGCGGGGGCGGGCGGCCGGCGCCGCGCTGCCCCGGGGAAGGTGCATTTCGGGGCAGGCTCCCGCCGGGGTTTTGGGGAGGTTCCTGGGGCGGTGCCGGCCCCGGCTGTGGGGCTGCTGCCGCTGTCCCCGGGGTTGCCTGTATAAATATGTCTGCCGGTGCTTGCGGTGGGGATCCGTAGCGGGTTTCTGTGAAAGGGGAAGCGGGGAGAGCGTTTGGAAAGCCCGGCCGTCAGGAGCTTTCCTGCAGGACCCGTACTGGGGCAGCGGTGCGCCAGCCCTTCGTGTAGCTGTCCCCGAGGCCAGAGCAGCGCTCCCCTTAGGTACCGCAACTTTACAGGGGTCAGTCCTTTTGGCTGTGCGCGACTGGAGCAGCAAATATTGCACAGGGGAGGTAGCGCTCTATGCCCTCCTTTTAAAGGGAGAAGGACTTTTTAAATTCTTCCCAGTTGCAGACTGTTAAAGGGACACTAGGAGACAGTTACGTCTCAGAGTTTCTTTCTTAAGAGCTTGTAACAAACGATCACATCCTAGGATTTGGGGGGAAATTTTGACTGTGTAGCATTTGAAGAGTTTCTTTGCCATCCACTGTCGCCCAGCCTCCTGGCTAAAGCAGCGCTGCTGGGCAAGCTGTGTGCCTTTGCTCTACCATCAGGGGAGACGATAGCTTTTCTCCCCTCGTGTTAATGAAAATTTGTTTGGTTTACTTGTTTTATATGATAAATGCAACACATTTTAACTCTTTTTTTTTTTCTTTTTTTAATTTTTTTTTAATAATACTGTTAGTGATTAGAAATCCTTATTGAAAGAAGAAAACCAAAACAAAAAACAGCCCAAACTAGCAGAACCAAAGCAGTTGCTTCTCAGACAATTTGTCATGAGAGACAATTAACACAGTGGACAAGGAGATTAGGTCTTTTTTTAGACGGGTTTATGCTGCCATGAAAATGGCAAACTATATAACTGTTACACAGAGCTTTAAATCTACTAAAATGAATACTCTGAAAATAAATTACCTGAAATCAGAACTGTTTTAACTGTAAACAAGTACACAACTAAATATTCCAACTTGCACAGCTCACAGATGAAAATTTGGCCCCAAGTAACACCACTGTGTTTTGTGACCCGCTCCTCTGACCCCCTTTTGCTTTCTTCCACTCGTATTAAATACATTAATGCATTAAATATTTAGACATAAGTAATAAACTGTATTTATTTAAATGAGTGAGCAAAAGCAGTAGCAGAGTACTCTATGAAGAAATTAACTACAGAAGAACTCACAAAGCCAAAGAAAAAACCAAAATGCTCAGTTCAGGAGAAAAGAAATACTACCAGAGGTAGTACTGATGCCTTAGGCAACAGATAGAATAAATGCATTATCTTTTTTTTTGTTCTGCAGTGCTAACATATTCAAGTGGAAAATATTTTCCCGTGTTTGAGAGGGGCAGATGGTCATAATAACATGTTACCTGTACATACCCTTTTCCTAACAATACATACTTTTTTAATATAATGCACAAACTCTCTTGCTTGCCTGCATTTTATTTTATGTGTTTCCTGTAAAAGGATGCTTTCTGTCTCAAAGTATTTTATCATTAATCTCTTAGACAATGCCAAAAAATGTTACAATTAAGTGAGTAGATATTAACGACTTGGTGATGTCAGTGGGAGGGATACAGTGACTGGTATCTATTTATGATAATGCCTTTTCATATTCCTGTCTTCTGTGTACCGATTCTGCTTTTGGTCTCTAGAGAAGGTCTGTGTATGTGTAAAAGTGCACATTTACAAAGAAAGGTTTTCCTGTATCATATTTTAAACATCGGTAGAGCTGCTTATAGTCTGCATGTTTCTGCTGCCCTGCTATTATAAATAGGAACTGGCAGTTCAGAAAGACTACATTAAGCACTCTTGTGAAAATGGTGAAATGAATCGACTCCACTATAATTTTCCTTACCCTTATATAAAAAAGAAAGGGGCAGGGTTACCATGTCAAAACTGTGCAATCCTGTATTATGCTGCTTCTCTCAGCCCATGCATTGATTGAGTAATTTCATCAGTCCCACATTACTTGATTGCTTAGAAGTTTCCTAATGATCTGTATGCTGTAGGAAGAATCTGAAAGTCGTGAGTGGAATGGTAATGATTCTGTGTTTTATGAGGCTATTCAAAAAGTCTCTCTGATTTATGTAGCTCGAAAGCTCCCAAGTCTTTGAGATTAGCCACGCTGCCTGATATTTCCTTCATACATCAGTCGTCCCACACTCCTCACTCCCTAAACAGGAGTTTAGAACAGCGTTTTAATTAAGCAGGGATTAGGTGGCACTCCTTGTCAACCGCACAATTTGCGTATGCTTTGTATCTTCCACCGCTGATAGTCTCATGCCTTTATATTTTGTACTTTGTGCTCATTATTTTCCCTTGATACATCTGTACATGCTTATGGATTTCCTATTGTGCCTATAGAAACATATAGGCAGATATATGTGTGTTAGGTACTGCAAAATCCCCTAGGGCAGCAGGCAGAGGGTGTGGTACAAAAGTTTTGCTGAAAAAATACTCTACAGTATTTTTTGAAGGCTAATTAATGTAGTCCAGCCTCCCTGATTACATCAAGTTGGTTTTTATGTTTATCAGTAACTTCAGTCATATACAGTCAGCTGTGTATTGCCCTTGGCATTTTTATTTTTAATGGAAATTTCATAAATATATACAAGATACAGTTATGTATTACATATGCTTCTACATATAATTATACATCTGTTTTTAATATATTTATATATTTAATATATTTATAGATACCATTTTTTCTTTCTGAGAGAGAAAATCAGTTCTGCCCTTACCTTATTCCTCACATCTTTTAGGCTTTGTAGGCCAGGACTTGTGCATTCCTGTTGTTGGACAAGTTCCCAGCATTTTGGCTCACACCTTTAAGCTCTTCTGTACCATCCATGGCTAATAATATCAAGGCAATTCCAGCATGGGGTCTGTTGCTTGTTTCTTCCCTTGGTATTGGTGGTGACTAAAATGTAATTTTTTTTCTGTAAAGGAAAGGGGTTCTTGTTGCTTGGTGGTATGCCTGTCCACGTTTCTCCTTGTAAGCTGATGTGCTACAGTGCAGCTTGAGTTGTGTTGTGACTTGGTAATAGGAATTTAATTTGCTGTGCTATTGGTGAAGCCTCATTAGGAGGTATGTAGTGTCTGCCACTAACCGTTCATTACAGTACTCTCACATACATTTGTAAAGCACAGGACAAGCAAGCAAAACAGATTAAAACCAAATAAATCTGTGTGTGCCTGTAGTGTCTGCAGGGGAGCATACAGGTCCCTGTTGTCCCTGCTCTAGGATGTGAGAAGGTTACTTGCTGAGTTTAAAGACACCTGTGAGTGAGGACCTGGACCCCAGTGTGCTGGGGCTGTGCAGCCAGGAGGTTCTCTTAGTTACTATGTTCTACTTAAAGGGCTTGGCCTGCCTGACAAACTCTCTGCTTCTGTGTGCCTTATTTCTGAAACACTTTCCCAGGTGCTTAGATTTGTGGGAGTGCTTCAGTCCCTGTGATGTATGTTAGTTACTCTGTAGATAAAGAGGGATGACTTTGCATGCCATAAATTAGGGTTTGCCATCATCCAAAGGCATGTTTGCCATTAGGTGTCACTGCTTTCTGGAGTGTTTCTTAGTTGTCATCAGGGCCTGATCCAGAGTCTTTCATAATCCAGGTGAGTTGCTTAGTTGACTTCAGAAGATTTTAAGCCGAGCCTGTGGATTGCTGACCGCAGCAGGCAGCTCCTTTTCATGTTCTTAAATAACTCTTGGTGTTATATCAAGTTCTTTGTCCTTGATAAAGGCAGAGTAAAAAAAAAATCAACCATGCGTTTTCAAGTGGTGCCCTAACAAATGTCTGACATGGCAATCACTGCTGCTGCTCTGTGCTTTTACATGACTACTTATGGATGCACTGAGCCTTTATTCTCACAATGCCATCTTTGAAAAAGCACACTGGAGAAAAAATCTTTCAAGACTGTGACTACATAAACCTACCAACTAA